AGAAGGCAAGTATTCCGGGAACATGCTGGGATAAATCACATGGCTGGAATATTAATAGTGAGGCAATAAATCTGAATAGAAAGAATCAAGATGAAAACATAGGGGAGAGATTGTAATATTTATCATAAGACAACTAGCTGGTAAATGCAGATGATTAGTGGAAGAAATGTTAGCAATGAAATTTTGCATTTTCTCTGTTAGCATAATACATAAAGGGGAATTAAGATCGAACAGCTACCATGGGCCACAAAATCAGGACAAAGTGACTGAACCAAATACTGACAATGCTGAAGGAAACTTGGATCCCTCCCTGCAGTTCTGTTACTTCCTTCCCTGGATCTGAGTGCAAACTTGTGTGTGTGGACAGTTCAGGAGCAAGGCTGTGCTCAGGCAGCAGCTGTGGCCCAGCACAGAAGGAATTGGAGCCTGTGTTATCAATGAACACAGACCTAGGAAGGTACCCACAGCTGGTCCCTGTGTGAGCAGCATCTCACAGGTTAATCTCTTGGCCTGAGAGAATTGCAGGCAGCAGGACCTTTGGACTGTCCCAGGCTGCAGGTGTCCCAGCAGTGACACATGGAACAGGGCTGGGAGGAATTGCTGCTCTGTTCTGTCTTGGAAGGATGGACACTTGAATCTTCAACAGCTGAAGTGAGAGCTAAGTCCCATTGTCCAACAGTGACAGCTTCAGAATGTAAAACTGCCCAGGTTTTTCTAAGTAAAGCCTCTGAAATTCTGGGGTATGTCCCTTGCTGCTCCTGGCTCAGCAGAATCACCAAGGCTCCTGAGGAGCCTGGGCACACTAAGCATTCCTGGGAATGGCTTAGGAGCTGGGTCTGAGAAAGCTCAGAGGGGATGCCCTGCTTTTATACCTTCAGTCAGTAGCTTTCTGTTGAAGGCAGGATTTTAGTTAAAGATGTTAATATCTTCTGTAAAATTACCTGATTTCTTACTCCAAGAATCCAAGGGACTGGCCTGGGTATTACTGTTCATTTTCACTTCACTTATCTTGGAATATTTCTTTGGCACTTTCCTAAAAAAGAAGTGGAAGTGAAATTATTAGCAAGAGCTGAATAATTTGATAATTTATTAATAGTTCCGTTGGTCTATTTTTTGTGTGATATATTGTTTTGTTACCCTGCTGAAGTAAAGGGGGGGGGGAAGGTAGGACTGTCCCAATCTTAATTTCTGCTCTTTAGCTTGCACTGCTTCAAAATCAGCATTAAATACATCCTTTTTTTCCTAGGTAGTACATCATAATGCCACATAATGGCAAAAGGGTTCAAACAATATGAAACCTGGAAATGTCAAGTGTGAAGGAAATGAACTGGCACACTGTTTTAATTTTTCTTCCTTTTTATTAAGCTTTATAACATTGCATAGCCACAAAGTGTGCATGGCAGTCAAGGGTGAGAGCAAAGACAATCATCTGCTTGAGAAACACAGGAAAAATGCAGCCCTTGTGCAGACAGGTACCATCTTCCCCATCAGGAGGTGAGGAATGACAATTCCCCTTTTGGGGAACCTCTCACCTGAGAGCTTGGACTGCTTTGAGCCATAAGCAGACTCAAAGTTACCTGCCTAGGCGTTGGTGTGCCCTTTGCAGAAGGCACAGTGCTGCAATCCAGCATCTCCCCTCACAGCCCCACTAAAAAGAGGAAAAGAGTGATTTTCCCTTGAAAACAGCAAGAGATCTTAGAGATTCCAGATACAGAATATTTCTCATTGCAATGTGCAGTTATATGTGTTTAAAACACCTTCAGAGCAGTACTGGTGATTAAGCTTAGGATCTATTCATTTTCCTAAGCAAAATTAAATGTTGTGAGAACATCTCCAAGGGAAGGTCTGGCTGCAGTTTATGCAGATGCACCCTAGCTGGAACAGGAACAGATAGCACAAACTTGGTGTGGATTAGAAAATCTGTAAATCCAATAAAGACTCCACAGTCTGTGCTGAGCCCTGTATCAGTTCAGTTACAGGGCTGTTCATACCTCTGCTGGCTAGTTTGAAACTAATTCAGGTATTTCAGCTGCTAGGACACCTTTCCTTCAGTGTGGGCATTCATTCAGGACACACAGAGCATCATTTTCTCCTTTCTGTATGCCTGTATCCAGTGAAGGCAAACATCTGTGTGACTGTAGTCATGGCTGGCAGAGCACAGCCATGCTCTCAGATCGAAACATCCAAGCACAGTTGCAGTATCTTGTCCTTCTCCCTTCATTCCAGTGAAATAAATATGGTGTGACTTCATTCCCACCAATTAACTTAGAGGGTTGTGGACTATAATTAATGCAGCAGTCCATATATTCCACACTGACTTTTATTCTAGCTGATTGTAAAATGTATAGAAGCCATGGTCACAGCCATGGCAATGCCCCACTAAGGAAACACACACCACATCCTGTCTGTGAGAAGAAGCCCAGTTTAGGAAATGGAGAATTAGTTTTGAGGAGGGTATTTCCCTGAATTTCTCTGCTACAGTGGTGTAATGGCAGGGACATAAGGACTCTTGAATTTCACTCCTCTGGGCTCTGTGGTGGTTGGCATGCTGTGGACACCTCCTCAGGGTCAAACATGCATCCATTTTTCCTGTGGAAGCATAACAGGCCCATTGCTAAGCCATGTGGCACATCCTCAGTTGGTCTAAGTCTCACTGAGAATCTACTGCAGAAAATCTTGGCTCTGCTGGAGTCAATGGCAAAACTCTCACTGGCTTCAGTGGGGATCAGGATTTATTCCAGCGAGTGCAGTGGAAGCACAGTTTTTACCAACTGCAGATCTGGCTCTGTTGTTTGACACTGGTTGTCAGTTGGGGTTTTTTTTTTTAAATTTTAAAGGAGGTTGTAAAACAGTCCCCCAAAGCCCTGGAGCCCATGGAGCTTTTGTCTCCATGTGATAAGGTAACAACATGTGCACACGGAACTTGGTTTCTCTATAGATATAAACTGCATGAAGGCAGCTACTGATTCTTTTTTTTACATCATTGCTCTGCAGTACAGCTGTTATCCATATTAAAGCATATTTTTTAATCTCCAGTATTTTTAAGAGCAAAAATCCATCTTAATTAGTGGAACTAATGGCTGGGTTGTTTTGTATTTGTATAATCTACTCTGTCACTTTTTTTTTTGGATGTATCATATACAAATAAGAACCTTGATTTCAAATGTAGAGGGCCAACCCCTCTCCCTTTCAAGTTTATGTGCAGAAGTTATTTCAATTCGAGCAGGATGGGATGGATGAAACAGAAAAAAGCCACATCATCAGCTTAAAATACAAGTCCAATAAAAATGAAGTTGGAACTTTACCAGCTGTGTACTGATGAAAGCATATGAGGTTTTAAGTAAGAGAAGCTGCTCAATATGGACCCAAACCCAAATCAAACAAAAAAAAAAAAAAAAAAAAAAAAAAAAAAAGAGCCAACATAAAAACAAACCAAAAGGAAGAACTGGGAGAAGCCTGGTGCAGACAGCAATTCCAAATAGGGGTCATTTGAAAAGATAAGAAAAGGGATGTTTGAATGCAATGTAAAAATTGATCTACCTCATCATTCAGAATAATCTTTCCCTTTTTATCCTTAACCCAAAGAATGGGAAAGCCAAATCAGAACATCAAACCAAGCAAGCAGAAATCATATACTGCCACAACTGATTGGGGCTGGGGTCCATAAGCCCTATTCATGAGCAGGGAGCAGGACTGCCTTGCTGTTATTTTTCTTCTGTACCCTTCATTTGTATCCATAACATAGGGGTGGAAGGTAATAGCTGGACCCTTAGTCATAAAGGAGCAAGAATATTCAAGGATACCCAGGAAAATTCCTTGGCAGAAGACCAGCTTCCTGCAGGAAGTCATTGCCTGCAGCTTTCCAGAGAGGTCTAACACATGCAGATACAGTGAGAATCAGCCTGGGGTAGGTAGGGCTGTGGGCTGGCAGGGCCAGCAGGAGCACAAGAAGGGCTAATAGGATTCTGCAAGGTTAAAGAGTGAAGTGGTGAAAACAGCAGATGATCCCAGCAATGTAAAAGCTGAGTAAATAGACACATTATTTGAAGGGAATAAGCAGTATGGCATTTATCCTGGCCATATGGAAACAAATATAACTTGTTTTTTACCATAAAGGCCACTCTTGATTTTTTAATTATTTAAAAATCCTTCTTCTATATTGTATTTATAGTATTCCTAAAGACTTTCAGGGTCTATCTCTCCAGTTGCAGATATTTAATATAAGATTGCAGGAAGCAATTTCAGTCTTATTAGCATATAGCCCTAACAATTTTTGCTGTGAAATGGCTGCTTAGAGTAATTTATTGGATCAGATGAAGATCTCTGACCGTGATTTGCCTCTACTGCTGGCACTTTTTCCATTTGGGTCCCTGCTGTCAAAAACAGGAAACCAGGACTGCAACGCAACTCAGGCCGAGGTGCCCTAAGTTTGTCAGCCTCGTCTGTCTCTGGTCCTTTCCATACGGATGCACAGCCGGGACGGCGCAGCCCGCGGGACGCTGCCCCGGCTCCCGGGGGCTCCTGATCCCGGCGCGGGGCGTTTCTTTTCGCTTCCCCCCGCGTTCTGCCAACTCCCGTCGCCGCCGGCGGGCCCGTCCCGGAGCGGGGCGCGGCGCGGGGCGGGCGCTGCCGGCTGGGGCTGCCCGGAGCGCGGCGGGGGCGGCGCGGGGGCTGCCCCGGCGGGGCGGGCGGTCCCGTCCCCGCTCCCCGCGGCCGGGCTGCGCCGTGTGGCAGCGCCTCTGTCAATCAGCCTGACTTCACTCCGCACGCCCTGTGCTTCCAGTACGATACCCCCGCCGCCTCCTGGTGTCTCTGCTTCGCTGCGAGCCGGGAGCGCGGCCGCCACTGCCGCTGCGGCTGCGGCTGGGCGAATGCGCGGGCGGCGGGGCGCGGGGCAGCGCTGAGCGGAGCGGAGCAGCGCGGAGCGGGGCTGCCGCCTGGCCCGCCCCGGCTGCGGGCAGCCCGGGCGCCGGCCCCCGCGTCGGGCCGGGACCGCCGCGATGGACCCTCCCGCGGGCATCGCCTGCCTCCTGCTCTGCTGCGCGCTCGCCCTGCCCGCCGGCGCCCTGCGGCGCCCCGGGGACAGAGGTAGGTTCCGCCGGGACGCCTTCGGGACTGCTCGCCCTGCCCCGCCGCCGCCGGCCGGTGCCCGCAGCCCGCCCGTCCCAAGTAGCGGCTCGCCGCCCCGCGGCTTTCGGCTCCCCTTGAACTTCTTCTGCGGCTACTTTTGCCGGGTTTCCAGTTGTTTCCTGCAAGCGGCAGGCGGGGACGGGGACCGGGCAGCCGCGCCGCCGGCAGGGAAGGGAGCCGGGAGCGCCCGGCAGTGACAGCGCTGCCCGCAGCCCCGCGCCGCCCGCTGCCTGCCCCAAGGAGCGGGCGAGCCCCGGCGGGCAGGGAGCGGTGCCTGGGGCTCCCCGTGCGGGCTGAAACACATGGCAGCTCCTCTGCCTCCTCCTCCTCCTCTTGCCCGGGCCATCTCCTCCGTCCGAAACTCCCGGGCTCCCCACTGAGACCGCTCCCCATCGCTGCCCGCGGCGTCCCCATCACCGCTCGACTCAAACCCGCCGCACCGGGGGTAGTTTGGGGACGTGCCTTTGCCTTGCAGGCTTACCACCTGCAAAGCCAGCCCCTACCCCTGCCCCTGCGAGCAGTCCCGAAGTGAATCAACGCCCTGTCTTCAGCGCTGGCCACCCGGGAAACCCCCAAAGTCCCCGAGGCGACCCGGTCACTAAATGGGCGTGCAAGGGTGCGGGGTCCGGGCTGGGTGGGCAAAGGGGTGCGGGACCTCGCTGCAGGGGCAGGAGTGCGGGGTCCTGGCAGGGTGGGGAGGCTCACTCTGCCGTCTGGTATTTTGAGGAAGAAATGGCAAGTTTGAGTGAACTCTGCACACTTCATGCAGGTGAGCCAAGTGCCTGCAAAGAGTGCAGTGTCCATCTGCCTTATGTAAGTGTCTGCTGTGCTAATGAATAATGGAATAAAAATCCCGCGGCATCAGGATATGTTTAGTTCTAGTATCTCTGTCCTCTCTTGCTTTCTCCCTGTAAAGATTCAATCCTGAGGAATATAGAGGAGTACAGCCTTGTCATCCCCACAAGCACCGATTCAGAGGGCAGGTTCCTATCCCACTTGGTGTCTGGACCGCCAAAAGCACGCTTCAGGAGAGCTGTGGAGGACTTGCAACATGAAGCAGCAAGTGAGCAGATATTTTACAATGTCACTGTTTTTGGAAGAGAGTTTCACTTCAGGTTGCGGCCAAACTCCAGGCTCGTGGCCCCTGGAGCAACAGTTGAGTGGCAGGAGGACTCTGAGGAGACTCATATTGAACCTCTCTATGGGAATTGCCTCTATGTTGGGGATATCACTGATCTGCCAAACGCTTCTGTTGCTATCAGCAATTGCGATGGACTGGTAAGTTACTTTTGTTATTATATCAAAGATAATTATATTAATTTCCTACAGTCTTTAAATATAAAATGTGTGGACTGTCAGAAACTCACACCTCATATGGTAACTGTGAATGCAAATTAACTAATGTTCCCTTGTGTGGGAATAGCTGTGCTGCACCAAGCGCTGCTTTACAGACAGTGGCACTAGAAGTTTGAGCACATGCTCTGAGGTAGCTACTCTGGAACAGAGCAGCTGAAACCAGCATTTATGCTGATTTGTGGTAAAGTTACTTGCGGGGTCTGATGCTCTAAACCAGAAGGTTAGGTGGCAAGTTCTCAGCATCCTCTTCCACTTCTCACTTACAGCCTGCAAGGGTAAATGTTAGAAAGAGTTAATCCCAAATAATGGGCTGGACTACCTTGGAAACACATTTGATAGGTAAAATATAGTTTTGTCCTGGAAAATTTAAATTTATTCAGAGTCTGTTTTCTTGGATATTTCACTTGGTGAGTTTCATTGCCTAATCAAGTGATTGATGAAAAGTTACAGAAGACTTTGAGTTTTATGAGCAAAACAGCCCCCTGTGATACATTTGTCAAAGCTGTGTGCTTTAAAACTGGCTGCAGCTTTCTGTTCTGGAGTGCATGTTCAGCACTCAGATTATCACTGTTTGTCCCTGACATCCTAAACTGTCACACTGTCATTTGAACAGTGATTACTGCACAGCAATTTGTTTAGTGAGAAAGGGGCTATATTTTCCTTTATAATGACCAGTTTATCCAGCCCGTATTTCCTTGCTCTAGCCTTTAGAGTTTGTAATTTTGAGATTGCTTAATTGTAATGCATTCTGCCTCTGCATAAAGAACAAGTAGGAGTCAGTTGTATTTCTATTTATTTAGTCATAGGAAGTTGTTCATTTGCTGTGCCAAGAAGATGACATGTATGGAGATAGTATGTTGGCTATCTGAGAATGGAAGGGAATCAAATATTTTTCCCCTTAGTCTTTCCTTTCCTGTGGTTTCTCCTAGCCATGTGCATTCCTGTTTTGAGAAGCAGGTTTTAATGCTGCAGTTGTTTGATGTGGACAGCTGGCTGAGGGTAAGAGAAGCACCAGGACTGAGCAAGAAGAGCCATTCAGAGAGCAGAGTGTGAGCCTGCAGTTCTGCCTCGGGGGGGAAGCAAAAGTTCTGTGCTCTCCTTGTGTCTAGCACAGATCATTTTGTGTAAGGCAAATTTACTTGCTCAAGATTTACTTGCTCTTTACTTTTAAAACTGGGGCAGAGCAAAAGCTCTTCTTCCTTGTTCATCTGTGCTGAAAGGTGGAGGAAGATCTTGTTGATGGCTACTCCTCACCTTGTGTTCTCCTCAGCACAGGTGTTGACTGTAAGAGCGGGGGGGGGGGCTTGTTCCTGCTTCCTTCCAGTGTTTGCCTGAATGTGGGCTCCTTATATTTAGACAAAAGAGTTATGATAAAACAGAACAGGAATTAAAGCCAAACTTTGGATGAGACTTTAAAGGTCCAAGGCCTCATGTTGCATGTAAAAATGACAAAGAATGAGAATGGTTTATAAAATGAAGGTATAAATGAAAGGCTTTATAAATTACTGCTTTTTTCACATTTGTTACGTCTCAAATGCAAAGGTGTGAAGCCAGGCCTCAATGCAACAATAAATGCACTCGTAAAAGACTGGAATCCAGAAAACTACCAAAGAAATTGTAGTTTTTCAACCTGTATGCCCAACCTGCGTGCCTGCCTTTTCCAGTGTTGTTTCCATTAGAATAAACTGGAGAGTTGGTCTGGGCTGGGAGGTGCCACATTCTAATCTGAATGATTTTCACATGGAATTACAACTACTGTGTTTATGCTGATATATTTGGAAATGGATTACTGCTTCCTCCTGGGTGTATCTACATGGTAGATGTTGCAGTGCAGAGATGTATTTTTTTTGCCCAGGTCACTGAAGCCTTCCTGCAGGAAGCATTGCCTCAGTACCTTTAGGCTGTAAAGATTTCCCTGAAATTGTGCAGTAAATCTGTTTTGGAACAACAAATTGAACTCCAGTCCCTTGGGTACCATGTTCCATCTCTACCCTTTCCCTCCATCTCAGTTTCTTTCTTTCTTGTGGGGTGAGTGTATAAAACAGATTATCAATAGAATTACACAAACTCAAAGGAATTATACCAATGTTTCTCCAGAAGCCACTGCTCTGTGGGCAGAAATAATAAGCAAGTAACCACAGAAGTTAATATGGCTTGTGATTGTCTCTCCCTTTATTTCTTGCTTTTTGCAAGGAGTATTGAAGATTCCTTGGAGCAATGTGTTGCCAGCAAGACATACTTAGAGACCACTGGGCTGGATGCTTTTCTTGGGTTTATTGACATTTGGAAGTGAATAAAGACATGGAGAAAGCTATTGTCAACTGTTTTTCTATGTCTGGTTTTTACTTCACACCTAGTTTTCTTCAGTTGGCCCAAGTATTTCCACCACATTTTCTAGGTTATTCTGGAGATGGGGATGGTGGATCTCTCTTACAACTGAGTTGTCAACAGACAAGTGTTAGAATTTTACATTATAAACTTGATTAATTTCATTCCTAGTATTTATTTTTGAAGTGCTTGCTTTTGAAGATGGTTTGACATCTTCTTGTGGTCTTCTGTCTTTTGCATCAGCAATAGGGGCTGAAACAACACTGGACTTGAAGTGTCCTACTTTGATTTTTTCATTGCAAACTTTTGTTGACTGAATCTGGTTTAAGTCAGCAAATACATCTGCCACCCTGCCAACTTCTGATGTTATCTCCTTTGAACAGCCCTTTTGGTTTGCACTGCACTACCAACTATGACTTATTTTCCAGTTACTGTCTTAGAAGAGTCTGGCTGGTGAAATTGGTATTGCCAAATAAGAAGTTGTTGGAAGGAATTTACATGAAAATAGTAGATTTGTGAAGGGACTTTTGAACTGTAGTATAAATGAAGAAGATCTGCTGCCCTGACTGAAGAGATACACATTAGTTTGGGTACTCACGGTTTTCTGTATCAGAATTCAACAGAAAATTTATTGATCCAGAAATCAAATATGAGGCAGATGAAGAGAACTTCTGAAGTATGCAATCTAGGTGTGTTGTCAGAGCTGAGGCAGGTCATTAAAAATTGTGGATGAAAAATCAAAGTTAAAGCTAATCAATAGATTTTTAACAGCTTTCTGAATTATGAATGTGATTTTTACCATATTAAAAAAATACTGTGAAAGCTTTCCCACTTAAGATAAAAACACTTGGGACAACTTGTTATCATCTTGGTTGGCCTGACAGCATTCAAACTATTTCTCCACTGAGTGGGTAGAGCAAGCATGGTCAGCTCTCCATGGCCTGCAGGCTGTGGTAGAAGCCATTGTGCTTTGAGTATGTTCTTGGTCCTTGGCCAGATTCTTACTTGTGGATGAGGGAGCTGGCTGTCCTCTCCAAGGGTTGTGAAGGAGAATGGTTGAAGGCTGTAAAAAATGCTATAAAACAACAAAAAGTTAGGATTATGTTAATCCTTCCAGATTATTGCATAACTATGGGAACTGTCCTTCTTCACCTCAGCAGATGAACCTGCCATTGTAGAAGAACTCTTTACACATCTAGATTTTTGAGGCAGATGTGCCAAAAATGTCTTCTTCAGGCTGACAGGATGGCACCATCTGGTTGTGGAAATTCAGAGACATAAAAAGTCCCTCCCAGTCTCCTCATGACATTTGTAGTTTGTGAGCTAGAATGTGTACTTAGGAAAAACACAATATCAACAGCATATCTGAAGTGGATAATGAACACATGATTAACTTAGGCTGCAGTGCAGAGTCAGATGTACTGACAGGACTGAGAAGACTGAGGATCACTACTCCATGATGAACAATCAATGTGATCTGATTGCATCCACAGAAGCAAAGGAAGGAACATCAGTCTCAGTAACACATCATGGTGTCCTAGTTTGGCTCCATTGGTATAATCTTCTTCCTTTTTTAAAGCTAAAAGATCAGCTGTCCAAAAATTTCACAGTATTGTCACTAAATCGAAAAGTTATTAGAAGAATATATATAGAAACTGAGCTTTTCAAGCCATTTCTGCTTGTTTGTTTTCTAAATGAGCTGTAAGCATTACATGGCTGGGGGTACCAAGAGTGACACCTTACAAGTGCAGAGGACTTGTTTCTTCTTGTGATGAACCAGGCAGGGTTTGCTCTACAACGTTTCAGTCTTTCCTGTGCTCTTGCTAACCCTCCCAAACTGTTTTTGAGCAGCCTGCTGGCTGGCTGGCTGCTTGCCCAGGCTCTGTTTCTTCTAGAAATGCTTGGGACACCAGCAGTGCTTTTTCGACTCATGCCCAATGCTGCAGTATCTGTAGCCCTGGGCTCACCTGGGTGGGTTTGTGGTGATACCTTTCCCTTTCCTAACCAGTCATGGATCCTCAGGAGCTGGCTGGTGTCAATACAAGTGCACATCTGCCAGTTGTCCCAAGATGTTGTTAAGTATTATTTATATTATGAGTATTTTCTTTCCTGTTTTAAAACAGAGAACTAAACTTTTTTCCTCAGTTTTTATTTTACAGGGTTGTATTCAATCTAATTTCTAAGGTGGAAATGTAGAATCTCATGTTCAGATCCAGTCAAAGGTGTTTCCTGAAAGCAATTCCAGCTACCCATGTGAAATGCCCACCTTTCTCCCCTTCCTCCTGCCACTTTCCCTGCATTCCTAAAGGCATTTAGTCACTTTGTGAAGTCTAGCCTTGTTTAGTATAGTTCTTCTTCACTTTGAGCATGAGTTTGATCTCTTTGAAGTAAGTGAGTTTTAAGGTTATATTGTTGTGTACTGTCCTGACAGAGGTGTTTTCTTGGAACTGTCCACAGAGTTGAAGGTGAATCTAACTCACCTTAGGTGGAGCATGTAATTTACCTTGGTAAGAGGGTGAAGGAGCTGCTCACAATGAATATACCAGGAGAAGGCAGACATGCTTATGTAACTGTGTTATTTTTCCTTTTAGACA